TTACCCCATAAAATCCTGTTACCATGGTCGGATCATGATGGTTCACAAACTCATTCAAGTTTATCCTGCCTAACACCTTAAAACCAAATTTCATCAAAATCTGACAAAAATTACTCATGTTATCGTGTTCACGGACATATATAAACATTTTTTAATAAATGGTGTTTTTGGCCTCTGGGGACATCAAAATGAAAAAGTAAATCGGTCTCGGGCCTAGGTCTTACTGTGCCACTTACGGTAATAGCTACTTCCCTATACTGTATATGGAAATTCGCTAAAAGAAAAACAAATTTGGCACCCTTTTTAACCCTTTCAAAAATTAAAACAAAAAACTACCTGTGAAACCAATTTGTTTTCTTAAAATTATTAGGCCTCTCTGCTAAAACGATGTAACTCTGAACATTATTTAAATACTACTTGCTGGACAAAGATATAGTGATAGAATCAACAAACATTATAGTTATTGTTAAATTTATGTTATTGTCTCACTCCTGGGGCCCTATTTTTTAAATGGTTGACTGTTGAGTTGAGTGTCGAGTCATTCTATTTCCAATCGTTTCGTATTTTTGAAACGGTTGACGGTGGACTTATACAACCAAAACTACTCAACACCTATCGAGCTGTTGAGTGGAGGTTGACTGCACTTTCTTCTTCCGCTCTTTCGGCAAAAAATTACTCTTTTTGAGACGACGCCATATTGTTTTGTTATTGCTTTAATTTACTAATTGCGATTTAGAGGTTATGTATTTGTTGTCAATGTATTAGCACCCAATTATGCGATTGTTTTCTGTAGAATAATCGCATTTTAATTTTATTTACTGTGTCAATACTAGACTATTTAATCAAGGGTTTTAATCTTGTTGGAATGTTTGAAATAGACTAGGCATACTAATTGAACTTATTATAAGATAATTATTGTTATTAGACCTATGATTTAAGGCATTAAAGATTGTGGTAGAGAGAAACAATATCATAGTTTGTTTCAATACCATTCACCAAATAAAGGGATCAAATTAATTTAAGTTACGATATGCTTCCAGTGCAATGGCAAATGGCCGCTTTAACCTAAATAAAAAACAATTAAAAATAACATAAAACAAACCGATGAAGGAAACTAAAATAAGGTGATGTGTTCCGAAATAGATACGAAGAAAGCAATTAATAATGTATTTAGGATGAGTGTAGGACCTAAAGTAAAGTGCAGCCTATGCCTAAACTTATAATTAATTACACCCTAAAACAAACATCCATAGTAAATTTTATTTTTAATACTTAAGTTTAGCCTATATAAGTTAAGGTACTTTGCAATCACTAAGATTAAATTAAGCAAGACATAACCCATTATAACCTCAATCCCTCAAGAACGGAGTTGACGTTGACAGTTTACCTCAGTGTCTCGAAATATGGCAGATTGGATTGAGATTAGCTGCCAGATTTTAGAGTAAGAAGAGGTTAAATCGAAGTCCGCAAGAACTCTGCATTGTGATTGGTTCAAAATGACGTCATCTGAATTTTTGACGGTCGTATGCTCTACATTTCCACCACGAGTCTCTCAACTAGTGATTCCCAACTCGCTTCCCAACTGTTGGGTTTCAAAAATACCAAATCATGTTGTTGGTTGAGTTGAGTGCTGACGATTGACTCAACTGTCAACCATTTCAAAAATAGGGCCCCTGGGGCCCTATTTTTGAAATGGTTGACTGTTGAGTTGAGTGTCGAGTCATTCTATTTCCAATCGTTTCGTATTTTTGAAACGGTTGACGGTGGACTTATACAACCAAAACTACTCAACACCCGGTGGGGCACACGGGAGGGACTAAGGCTAACATATCTTGTAGTGTCAGCGTTCGCCGCTAGGACTGCTAAGTTGAAAAAATTTAAATTAATTTTTAATTTTTTATTTTTTGTTATAAAATTAACTTTTTAATTATAAAATATTGTTTTAAAATTATAAAATAAATTTTTAATTTTTAAAATTAAACTGTCATAACATAACCTAACCAACCAGACTGGCTGATAATATAAAAACTAAGATAAAAATCTAATTAATGATTACTTATAATTTTTAATTAATTTTAAAATTTAGTATTATAAAATTAAACTGTCATAACCTAACCTAACCAACCAAACTTGCTGATATGAAAAATTTGTTGACAAAAAGTTAGTGCTGCCAGCGGGTTTCGAACCCCGGACCTCCTGAACACCAATCCGAAACGCTACCAACTATGCCACAAACACCGCTGAAATCACATCGTTTCGTTACGGTAATCGTGTCGCCTCAAGAGAAGACATTAACCACTAGAGATATGACGTCACTACACCTTAGCCTTAGTCCCTTCCGTGTGCCCATTCCACTCAACACCTATCGAGCTGTTGAGTGGAGGTTGACTGCACTTTCTTCTTCCTCTCTTTCGGCAAAAAATTACTCTTTTTGAGACGACGCCATATTGTTTTGTTATTGCTTTAATTTACTAATTGCGATTTAGAGGTTATGTATTTGTTGTCAATGTATTAGCACCCAATTATGCGATTGTTTTCTGTAGAATAATTGCATTTTAATTTTATTTACTGTGTCAATACTAGACTATTTAATCAAGGGTTTTATTCTTGTTGGAATGTTTGAAATAGACTAGGCATACTAATTGAACTTATTATAAGATAATTATTGTTATTAGACCTATGATATAAGGTATTAAATATTGTGGTAGAGAGAAACAATATCATAGTTTGTTTCAATACTATTCACCTAATAAAGGGATCAAATTAATTTAAGTTACGATATGCTTCCAGTGCAATGGCAAATAGCCGCTTTAACCTAAATAAAAAACAATTAAAATTAACATAAAACAAACCGATGAAGGAAACTAAAATAAGGTTATGTGTTCCGAAATAGAGACGAAGAAAGCAAATAATAATGTATCTAGGATGAGTGTAGGACCTAAAGTAAAGTGCAGCCTATGCCTAAACTTATAACTAGCTAGTAGCTACATCCTAAAACAAACATCCATAGTAAATTTTATTTTTTATACTTAAGTTTATTACTTTATTTAGTTTACTTTAGTTTATTACTTAAGTTAAGGTACTTTGCAATCACTAAGATTAAGCAAGACATAACCTCAATCTCAATCTCTCAAGAACGGAGTTGACAGTTTACCTCAGTGTCTCGAAATATGGCAGAGGCAGATTGAGATTAGCTCAGCTGCCAGATTTTAGAGTAAGAAGAGGTTAAATCGAAGTCCGCAAGAACTCTGCATTGTGATTGGTTCAAAATGACGTCATCTGAATTGTTGACGGTCGTATGCTCTACATTTCCACCACGAGTCTCTCAACTAGTGATTCCCAACTCGCTTCCCAACTGTTGGGTTTCAAAAATACCAAATCATGTTGTTGGTTGAGTTGAGTGCTGACGATTGACTCAACTGTCAACCATTTCAAAAATAGGGCCCCTTGCAACGTGAAGGTACGAAATAGTGAGCGCGTAGCATGCAGGCAACGTCGTATGCGCGACCCGACATAATACGAAATACGTTGGCAGCACTGGCTGTAAATCAGCTGGTCAGCTGTTGTACTGTTGTATTTGTCACTTCACATTAAATGCTATATTAAAAGTTCACTTCTGTGTAAAAGTAGGTTATGTTTCTTCACAAATTTATTTGTTTTATGGTAACTGTAGGAAAAGTATAATGTGCAACTCGAGTTCAAAGTACAATTGCCTCACTCGAGAAACCATTCCGTGAGTAAGGATTTCTCTCAAGTGAGTCAATTGCTCACTTTTCTCACTAGTTGCACAAATAACTATTTCCGATACTAGAATTGAAACTAACTATATACAGTAAATACATTGCCAGCTAGTACCAGGGATCTTGATCCCCGCAAGTTTAAGCAAACAGTTGAAACATCTTTAAAAAACGCCTCTCTACCCTATAGGATAATTTTTTGAAGAGATCAAAAAGCTATAAATCCTCTGCCGCCAATCTGTAAGTAAACATTAAACTAAAGTTTTATTTTTTATTTTCTTTGTGACGATAGATTGCACAGTTCTAATTATTAGTACCGTTATAGTGTAGTTTAGTCATCTATCCAGCAACTGCTGGTTAAAGCTGAAGACAAGAAGTATGAAGTAAGTAGGTAAGTATGAAGTATAAGACATAAGATCATTTTATTTCCTTTAGAACTTAAAATACACAAGTCATTGGAAAATGTAATTCTAACACAAATATCAAAAGATGTTTGTTACGTATCCAAACAGGTTTATTGCCTTTCGAAATACTATGAAAGAGAATGAGATTGACCTTGTAAAATGATAATGAAGACCTTGGGACGGGTACAAAAAAAGGTTTAGTTCAAACTCTCATTATTATCGGATTAGACCCGTCAATCAAGTACAAGGTGTATGTAAACGTAAATATAGGGCAATGAAGCGGGACGTTGGACATTTCAAAACATCGATAACTTCGATTTAACGATAAGCTCATTCGGTTACTGAATCGACTTTCGTGCGATCAATCATCATAATACCAATACCATACCATTGCCATTTTGATCATCCTCCCACCACTTTAGTGTAAATGTTGACAACATTAAACGCTTAGTTTATTACTTATAGCCTATGGTTCAATGTCGTCGTAAATAGAAGTAGACTTGGCTTAAGACGTAATAATACAACAATCTACTATAGTAATCATAATCAATAACGATTTACCAGGGGTTTTAGCAGAATACTTTTCCAGGATACATTCATCATCATCGTCATCTATAATTAATTGTTTTCTCAAACCAGTTTAGTTTTTGCTACAAGAGCAGTTTTTATTTTCCAAATAAGTAGGCCTACCGGTACCTGGGCATACAGTTTAGTACGTAGTTTTATTCTATGATGGTGATTTTACAAGGACCGGTACTCCGAAGCGACTCTCGATGATCGGATACATTGATATATCGCATTATGAAAGGGTGGTATATGGTGCGCATGTCACCTATATCATATCGACGTAGCTCCTAGCTCCGCCCTTGTTAGCGCTAGTGCTGTCGTCAGGGGGTGGAAGGGAGACAGAAGACAGTGACAGACTGACAGTAGTGTTAAAGTTATTCTAGAACCCCTTATCTCTACACCCTTCCTTGCTTGAAACCACTTGATTAGCGAAAAATGACTTTACCGCAATTTAATGCGAATTCCCTTGGCAGTAGAGCATTCTATGCTTACCCAGACCATTTCTGGTACGACTTGCAGTGCTAATAATACTTAAAGGTACGAAATGTGCAAATTATTGTTACTTGTGTCATTGTGGCTTCAATGGCCTTTGTAGATTATGTAAATTACTTCCTTTGTTTTGATCTAAAAACGATTTGTATTTACATAATTGTTTTAGTTAGGAGTATTTAGTTTATTTATATGTTATTAACATACCTAATATCTAGTACTGTATATTAATTGAGATTAGATTGCATAAACTCAAAATCCATTTTGCATTTGACAAGAGTTAAAAAAGAGAGTTAAAATACATCTGGGAGGGGGGGGGTCATATTTTAATCACGTTTTTATTAGTTACAATTTAAACGTATGTAGGATATTGTATAAACAACTGTCAATGGCAAATATACGTTAAGACATGGGCCTAAGCCAACAAAAATGAAAATAGTGTTTTTTGATTAATAATAATTCCCAAAATGTGATTCGCTCTACAATTTGTACCTATTATATATTTTTGTAAAATATTTAGTTTTATAGAAAGATTTTATATTTAGTTTAAATAGGTAGGTCTATCTGACAATGATTCAAATATGCGTCATTGTATTTGACTAACGACAAATACAATTCTTGAAATCTGAACTACATTAAAACTAACAAAACTACCTAAGTTACTATTATGCATATAAATCCATTGGAAGTATCACTTAAAAATGTAAACCGTTCTTGTAAAAATCTACTAGTATTATATTTTGTAACAGAAGAATACATTATCTATACCGTAATAAAGCTTCTTTATGCCAAGAACCAGATCCGATCCTAGAAATTGACCCTGCTAAGCCAACAAGTTAAAAATCCCTAAAGTCCCGTTCCCATTCGTGACAATTCGCTCTGTGGGAACGACGCGGAGTGAATTTCCTGTGACGTCTAGGTGTGATTAAGATCTAAGAACGCGGATTAAAGAGGTTTAATATTTGGGTGTGAGCAGCTAACATTTTTGCATTCCTGGCTGTTTTTTGGCGGTAGTTTATAGTGATGTGTTAGTGTGATGGAGTTGTACAAGTTCAAGGGAGTGCTGTTGGAGCCATTGGGATTGCGTGTAATGAATTTTCATTAAAATTAAACTTTAAAGTTTCTTGAACTGTACACTGCAGAACGGTTACTGTACGATGCAAAACTACAAAGATCATGTTTTGAGGAATGCAGCAAACAGGAATCATCCCTTTCTAGCATCCACTTTCCAACCCAAAACCGCAGTTTCTTCTTTTTTCTAATTACTTTCCGCGACCGCAGTTTTTCAGCTGAAATGCACTTAAGACAGAACTTACAACAGTAACTTACAACTCTCAACAACATGCTCTGCCATCGTTGTCTCAACTTGTCTACTAATTGCCTAAAATTGTACTAAAAACTGAACAACTGCACGCACAACTCTCAAACACTCTGCTATCGTTGTCTTTCTGAAGGGCTGGAAACTAAATCCAAAAGATTGACTATGAAGCTTGGCCAGCATGATGATCGGAGAGCAAAAATTCATGTCCCGAGGGAACCCGGCTTGGCTATAATTAATCACTCCTTCTTAGTTTTTGACCAGCCAGAGCCAAATAGACAGCGTCTAATTTTAAACTTACTACTTATAAAAAGTTATATTTTACTCTCAACTATTTAAAGGAAAACACTTAATAATGAATAATCCATTATAAAATCCAATGAAACTGTACATGAGGCAAAACTATCCTGAGTTGAACTAATTGGAAAGTTCCAGTACCCTCAAACAATTATAACCTTTAATTTTAAGACTTTAAAGATCTCTAATAAAAAAAATTAAAACAGTAAACCAGTAAAAAAACAAATAGGCCTACCTAAATTAAGACTTGAATATAAGTTAAAGTTATAGTTTGTTCCCCATTTACAAATTTAAAAAGATATGGTTAGTGCTTGAAAAAAAAAATCATAATTTGTTTTTTAGTTTTGATCATATCACAAAACATTTATGTCTGATGTTATTTTTAGGAATCATTGTGAACATTTTCCACGATACATAAAGTTAACGATCGAAAGTTTTCATAATGGTTTGGGATCTGTAATGTTATATGATTTAGGAAAGAAATAGTAGGCTACCTAAAACAACAAGATTAGAAAAAAAACCCAGACAAGCTGGAAAATCACAAAGGAAATCCTAGAATGAGAACTTGTCTTTTACTAATCGTAATATTAAATTATTTGTATTACTAATTTAGATGGGAACCCCACCTGAGTGCATTTAACCATTTGTGAGATGCCTTGTGTAGCTTACTGATTGACTGTTTTATTAGTCAGGAGTGTATAGGACCATTATTTATCAAAAGCTCAATGAACTTACGATTACTTACAATGAATACAGCTGGGTCCAGTTTTGAACTATAAAAAATGTTCACAGTCATCCCCGAAATAACATGAACTAAAAATGTACTACAGACAAAGGGAGACAAGTTTGTGATACACCAATGGGAGAGACAACAAGAGGGGAGGGGGGAGACATCCCCACCATTTTCAACCCCCATAGAGTGCGAGCCCCACCTAACTTGGTGGTTACAAACGAGGCTCCTAGAGGAAGTGTCCCGAATGGTCCTTACGGTCGAACTTCTCACACAACTCTTCACTCTGACACAGGTAAGTTCAAATGTATTGTAAGGAAAGATCTATATTACGGTGTATTTTTTTAGTGGTGCCAAATAGGTAATAAAAAATTAAAATAATTTGTATTAGCATAGTACAGTAATACAAAGTTATTTATATAGGAAATAGTGTTTTTATATATTTTGTGCTTAAACATTATTTCAGGCATATACTGTAGGCGAGAGTTAAGAAGTCCTCTGAGCCAGAGCGAATGCAGCAATGTTGGAATGTTGCCGCGCGGTATTTGCAGGTTCACCACCCTCTCTCAGCACGGGGGAGTGACATTTCACAGAGTGAATCATGTCGAATACTTGTCACATTGACAACAGATGAGTAATACAGTGACAATCGCTTCCATTGCTTCAGGCACCAAAAGTATTCTTACAGTGAGGGTATTTTGCGATTTACTATTATGGAAAACGTTAGGAAACGTGGGACAACAATTCACAGTGGGGAGAGAAACTTTAATTCGTAGATTGGTTGAAGTTTGTGATAAAGAATGCAGTTAAAGAAAGAGCTTTATCAGTTTCGATCGAAAAAGCGACAGAGCGTACTAAAAATAAAATAAAAACACAGTTGTCTGTTTTGGTTTTAACCCTGTGGATGTGAGCCCTGACTGACTGCCGTGTGGAACATGAGCACGCGTCGAGCCGTCGAGTAGCAAGCGCCTGCCTTTTTAGAATAGGCCAGGGCTCAGGGGACTTCTTAACTCTCGCCTACAGTAATGCTGTCCTACAATAGCAAATTTGGATAGGATACTTAAACCTTAAAACATAGCAATCAGAATAATTTTGAAATTAGAACACAAAGAAACTGCCAAACAAATTCAAAGAATTGAAAATGTTAATAGTGTAAGGGCAATATACAGGCTATAAAAAAGTCCTGGGACGGTTAAATATTTCATAAATTAATAAACATAGAGCTTCAAAACTCGGTACAAAGTTACTGGGCATTAAAATCATAAGACATTATTCAGTGATGTCCATCCATATGGGCAAGAGGGGGCTCGAGCCCACCCTTTGATACCCTACCAGGCTGACCATACAGACTGAGAATCCTGGGAGGTTTGCGTATATTTGTTAAATCAGGAACTAAGCGGAAATTTTGAACTTGCACTGGGAAAACCAGTTTTAGGCTGCAGTCACAGTAAAATTGCCATCGTCATCCGTGGTCACCGCGAAATCGTCAACACCTCCTGAGGTCACGGCAACATTAAGAAGATATTCCACGTCCATGACAAGATCGAGAACATCTTCCTCGATCACTGTAAAATCCTAATCATAATCCGCGATCTCGGTGAAGCGTAAAAATACGTTCTGCAATGTCAACGAAGGCGTAAAAACCGTCCGGTAAAATAGAGAACATATTCTACTGTCACAGCAAAATTGAGAACATCTTCAGTAGTGAAAATCATGAACATCTACCGCGGCCACTGTAAAATCGAGAACATATCGTGTGTGATCATGGCGAAATCCTAAACATCTTCTGCGGTCATAGAAAAATTAAGAACATCTTCCGTAGTCATGGCAAAATCATGAACGTCTTCGAAGGTCACGGCAAAATCGAGAACATCATCCGTGGTCTTGGCAAAATCATCCATATTTTCCGAAGTAAAAACAATCTTGGACATCCTCTGCAGTCACGGGACATCATCGTCTCCCAGTGTCACGGTAAAATCGTAAATTTTCAATCGCATATCTTCGTAAACGGTCTCCGCGGTTGCAGAAATTCATGCTCGGTTTGTCTCGACTCGATCCAAGCTTGGTCCGACAATCTATTTCTGTTCGTACGGATCTCTCATCCCAACGGTAGGTCCTACCAGACACAAAAATACGGAGCACCCTCAGATTCTTAGTATAAGGTACACTTGGGGACCATAGGAATCACGGCAGAGTAGCCAGGTTTTTATGTCTGTAAACCTGTAGTAAGTATTAACATTTTAAAATCAATGAAATGAAATGAAAATCCTTCTTTATTCAGGCGAACTTAGGACTTCATGGTCCTTTCTTACTGTTAACCTCTAAAAAACTAACAATAATAATAAAACATTAACAAAATAAAACAACAAAGATTACAATAAAGAAATAGGTGTAACAACATTGCATAAATTAATTTCTCTAACACACAATCACATACACATACACCCTCTTGCTGCACCCAGGCCTAATGCACGCCATCCCGCCACGACATGGCCATTCGGTCAAGGTAATATTCTTTCAGTGCCACCGTCAGTCAGGATCGATTTTCTAAGCAATGCAGCTTAAGTTGACAATGAAAATGAGACGTAGGAATTGGCTTACTCTGTAAGTCGCTAAAACCTGGCCGTGCCCACTGCATGGAGCGTTGCCAACCTTGTACGACGAAATAATCGTACAATGCCGTATTTCAAAATGTCAGTTTCAATAAAGATAATTGTTGTTGGTTTTTTAATCATAAATTCCACTTATACGCAGCTACCTAGCCCAGAGTAATTAAAAGGCAATAAAAAAAATCATTAAAAAGCTATTGTTTTGTATTTAACTGTTCAATGGCCAATTAAATGTTTATGATTTCTATCTTAAATAAACATCAGTATTATAGGAAAATAACACAATATTGAAAAATATTTTCAAAATTTAAGTGTAAAATGACACGTTTTTAGGCCGTTTCAACTCTTTATTAACCAGAGTTTAGAGGCAAAATACTATGGTTTAACTCCAGAATATTGACTAAAAAATTAAAGGATTTTGAACCCATTAGAATGTTTTTGCATTAACATATCACACAAGACCCTTTGACCATAAGTATTTGAACGTTGAAAGCTATTACCTTTTTATTTCAAGTACGGAAATACTTTTACTGATATTACAATGTTTCAAATGATTAAGAGTTTTTAAAATAATCCTGTATGTACATTTTTAGTTATTCTACCTTATAATAAGTTTCTATAATGCATTACTTATTATTCCTTATTACAAAAAAATCCAAAGCAGAAGTATTGTTTTAGCTGGTTTACTCTTATCCTGAATTTAAAGGGTAACAGTTCAAAACAAAGAAATATGTTTACTATTTTAAAGGACAGTAATAATAAAAATAAAAATAAAACTTATTCAAAAGATACTTAAATGTTACAACTTTTTTTAATCTATACTTATTTAATACGCAAGCAGGATTTTTGTGACAATTACTCCTCCGAAACTACTAAACCGATTGACATGTTTTTGGTCTCATTGGAAAGAGCGTAACGTGAATTTGTGCAGGAAACTTTCTTTTTAGGGAAATAATTAGAGAGTGAGGCCCTGGAGCCCTTTAAAGTTTCGTATTTCTCCATAAGATTAACATATATGGGAAACAAAAATTGTTATGAAACTCCAGCTGTTGTCAGAAATTAAAAGTGAGAAGAAGAACCTATGCTGTAAACCGTTAATAAGTTTACTAATTTAACAGTTTGCTACAAACATTTACTGACTTGGTTGAAATGAAATGTTTACTACTTGTATTTGGATTGGCGTAAATATTACAATGGAAAAAAGTGAGAGAGCCTGGATAGATTGATATCTTAAAAAGAAAACTGAATTAACACTATGCTGCATTTCTTATTAATCATTGAAAGAGCCCATTTGCAAACTATGGAACCATAGGAAAGTCATAGAACACCACCAAGGAGAAGAAATATAAATGTTTTTTTAAATTTATAATGTTATTATGGGTAACCTAATGCGGCTACGAGTAAGGCTATTTGTAGAAAACGCTAAAAAACAAGATCAGCTTTTAACAACAATGATAAGATATTTACAAGAAATTGTGATTATATCGATCTGTTATGTACCTACATCATGAGTATTTCCAAAATCTTTGAGTTGAATCTTTTAAAGTCATCAGAAATTATGACTGTTTTTCGTTTTAAAATAACGCCTTTAATACTTAGCAATTGCTCGAATTCGAGCAACAGGGACACTAGTAGTACAATATATGCTATGAATAAGTTATTCGATGGCCCAATTTGACAAACCCATTTGACTTGGTTTTGACCGACTAAAATGATGTAGCCTAAGACAGGCTATCTACTTCGATTTCCCTTTCCTAATTAATATGAGCCAGTGCAATCCCGTTCAATCGGTCTTCCGTCATGGTTACCTGAGATAAGTTTTTATTCTTCTCAGTGAAGATTACCCATTTTATCTAGTGTAGGCCTAAATTGGATACCCAAGAGGCCCACCCCTAGCCCCTCTCTGGATCCGCCACTGGTACAACCTTGTGGAAGATTTCTTTTGGCTAAAAAAGATGAAATTACAATTTCACGTGGATGTCAAATTATTTAGAAACAACTTATAATTTTCAGAAAGCCAATCAGAACAGCCTCAACCTGTGAATAACCGAGGGTTATGCTCACAGCTTCGGTCTTGCAAAAACTCTTGTTGCAGCAAATCTGCAAAAAAGGTAAGGTTTTAAAATATTTATTGTTATCTATAAATATTATACTATCCAATGTTTTGATCTAAAATTTGAAAAGTCAAAACATAAAGTCGATATTAGTGTTCGAGTCCAATACTCAGTGGTATAATAGTAAATTTTCTAGTGCGAGAACGCTCACCACCATGGAAAAAAAACGTGTCACCTATTAAAATATAGGATTTTTGGAAAAAGCAGCCCAGGTGGGAAAAATAACTTGAGAAAGGCGTTTCACAAACTTTCCAAACAAGCTAGAAACACTTGTTTAAAGTTTTCTTTGACAAGCAATCAAACTAGTGGCAAGTGTGAGGCAAGATTTCTAGTTCCCTTCTTAAACACTTGACTTAATCTTTTCTGGGCAAGTTTGTGAAAACTTGAACACCACAGCTTTCTGAAAGCTTTGCTGGCAATTATAATGAATGCCTTAAATAAACATTTGAGACAAACTTATCCTGAATAGCTTTGGGTAAACTAGCCAGGCAAGCCTTAGCAGTTAGTTAAATTTATTAACAAAGTTTTAATATGACGTACTGAACTGTATGATTGGACGTACGATGCGATGACAGCTTGTTTGATAATACCTCATACCGAAGAATTACTTAGTTTTTCTTGGCAAGCTTGTCCACAAGCTTTCCACGGGTTTCCCAGCGCAGGTTTTCTGAGGAAAGCTTGCTTTAGGTGTGTGGCAAGTTTTGGCTGATACGTTTTTCGTAGAAAACGAGGGAAAGACTTGCAGTAAGTTTTCGTCGCTCAAGTTTTCTTAGGAAAACTTGTCTCTGGTGAGTGGAAAGTTTTGTCTGATAAGTTTTTTGATTCAAACAAAAGGAAAGGCTTGCCGTAAGCTTACTTATTACCTGGGAGAGTGGAAACATTCCTGCCCTAACACAACACGGCTAATAAATTCTAAATATGTTTCCTGTAATATCTTTGTTGGTAGTGTTGGATTGTTACTAGGTATTGAAATACACAGTCTAGATCAATTAACTAACTGGATTTATTTTGATTAAGTTACAGCACAAAACATTGTCATAGTCTAGCATAAACGGAAGTAGTTGATGTACAATCTATAACATCCAAACAGTGTTACCAACACAACAAATCACATAGCCTAGCTAAGACAAAGAATAAATATAATATATGGTATATAAACACTATAATACAACAGGTAGTTTTTAAGAATCTAGAACTAATTAACCTTCAAATAATTTAAAACACAGCCTGACTAATAAAATAATCCTATACAATTCCAGGACTTTGTTATAGCTTCATCCTTAATTCTTTCTTGGTCAGGTCGGTTATATCAACTACCAGTTCTTAACACTTAAAGTGCCATGCCAGTTTTTGGATTAATTACCGCAGGGCCAATCAGAATTTTAGTTTTATTTTCAGCTATATATTATGATAGTTTTTATACTTGTTTTTCTTAGTTATAAAATTTCCTTTCAAAAGTAAAAATTTGGAGCCCAAAAAGAATTTTAAGAGACTTAAAAGAGAAGAGAAGAAAAGACGTAATTTCTTTTATGCGATTGCGGCAAAACCATGAATATCTTCTTTGGTCTTGTAGACATAATCATAGTCAAATCAAATCAAATCAAATCAATCAATCTTTATTCCAAGACAACAATGTACAAAAATCATACAATGCTGTATAGGCTGCGTCAATATGTAAACAGTGAATTAATAAAACATTTCAAAGGTCAAAGCAATTGTCAAAATATTCTTCTAAGTCATAAAAACAGTATTTCTATAACAAATTCTTAACAGCTATTTTAAATTTATCTAATGGTAACTCTTGAATATAATATGGTAGATAATTGAATAACTTAATCGAGGAATATTTAAAGCTTTTTTGAGTAATACTAGTAAGTACAGTAATAATTTCTCAGTTTAGCACAGTTTGGTCTTATAACTATGGATATCACAGTGGGAAGACAAAGTGTTTAAGTTCTTTTTACAATACATAAGACAGTGAAAAATATATATACAAATAAGCAGTGTTGGGGAAGCTACTTTTAAAATGTAGCTAGCTACAACTACTGCTACATTTCCAAAAAAGTAGCTTAGCTACAGCTACAGCTACAGATCCGAAAAAGTAGCTAGCTACAACTACAGCTACAATGAAATGTAGCTACAGCTACAATTTTAGCTACTTTTCCAAAGACGTTACTTTTTATTCCACGCACATTAGGTAAATGTAAAATTAATTGCAACTACATTTTTACTGAACAAACATAAAAATACTTTTTTGTGTTACAGAGCCTAGCCTACTGAAATTGGAGTTTATTGCCTTTTTTTACTTTTAATGTTAAAAACGACATTGCTATAAACTTTTAAAGTGATAAGTTGCTTGTTCTATGAATAACACTTTTCAATGTCAAGAAATCGTCCTTTATTGTCATTATGCATAGGGCAAATTGTGCTTCAACCTAGTTGGTACAGAACACGCAGTATCCAGTAACTTATCCTGAAATCGGCTTTTAATTTAAACATGTTGAAATTTGTAAAGTAAAAATAACATGTAGGCCTACTTGGCTATGTAACAAGTTGGCTATAGTAGGCTTGTTCTTGCAAGGACTAAACAGATATATTCCTAATAATTGAACTTGGAAGTGGGTATTCGTCTTAAACCATAGCATAGCCTAGGAATTAATAGTCCTATACAAGAGCTGTTACCAGGAGCAAACTATGCTATTTTTCAATGTAAGTTTCATGTTATATGGAGATTTTTTCGTTACAATTATCATTTAGTCTAGGCATATCTTAAATCACATCAGGTAATTTCCTCTTTGTTAATTTAGTAAACCTTTGAAAAATCTTCGTAATCTAACCAAGGAAGAGCTTGTGATGATAAACCACAATCAACAGCAGAAGCAAAGGTTGATAGACCAGCTTTCTCATTATTTTAAGGTTTAGTGTTGGTTTCCATAAAATCCAAGTTGAAACACTATCGGTATAATAAACTAACTAAATTGATTACTAATTTCCCTGTCAATCACTTGCAAGCATTCAATAGCTTCTCTTGTCACCGGTAACGTTTAAACGTCGTCTGCATCTAGCGATTTTATTTTATCTGACAGTAATCATAGAGTAGTAAATTAAGGAAATGAGAGCCAAAAATGTGGATAACACTAATTTAATGGCCTCCATGTCCACACAACGTTTTAATAGGGAATGAAACGGCTGCAACCAGCTGTATGAAGCCAAGAAAGTAAGGCCTAATTTTTTTGAAAATCTCAGTTTGAAAGAGGTTGTTTCACGTAAGGTTGAGGTTAAGATAAAAATCACTATCTCAAACAATGTTAATGTAGCGAGAAAAGTAGCTAAAATTCCGCTACAACTACTTCAAAAATGTAGCTAGCTACAGCTAAAGCTACAAAATTTTAAAAGTAGCGTAGCTACAGCTAACGCTACAAAAAAAGTAGCGCGCTACTGTAGCGTCGCTACTTGTAGCGCGCTACTTCCCAACACTGCAAATAAGAGGCATGACAGATAAACAACTAAAAATGGGCTTACAATGAGTTTTTGGTGGAACACCAGCAATTAATCTACGAGCTCTCTTCTGCAACACAAATAAAGATTTTACATAACCACAATTAGCCCAAAGAATGGTACCATAGGTAATATGATCAGGTACATACCTTTCCGTCAACAGTTCAATTTTGTAGTGAATAACTCACAACATGTTTCGCCTATTCAGGCATCGTCAGGTGGTATCCTAGCAAGAATGCTTTGTCTTCATCCATGATGGAGTCGTCAAGAAACATTTAAATAAATACACAAACACGCACGAAAACATTTAACAAATGGAGTAGGCCTACTATTACCGGTCGCGGTACGGAGGCAGACTGAATTTGCTGGAATTATGACCTCTATATAAATAACAGAGGAGGGGTCGGTGTTACATAATTCCAGCAAATTCAGTCTGCCTCCGTACCGCGACCGGTAATAGTAGGCCTACTCCATTTGTTAAATGTTTTCGTGCGTGTTTGTGTATTTATTTAAATGTTTCTTGACGACTCCATCATGGATGAAGACAAAGCATTCTTGCTAGGATACCACCTGACGATGCCTGAATAGGCGAAACATGTTGTGAGTTATTCACTACAAAATTGAACTGTTGACGTAAAGGTATGTACCTGATCATATTAGTCTAACAAACAGTTCAGGGGCTAAATCATGAATTTTAACCATAGGTAAGATGACAGTGTATATAGCTATAGTAAACCGTAAGTAGAACTTCCATTGAAACAACATTTTTTAGTTTTCTTAATATAAACATACCTTTGGATATTTTAACAGCTACAAATTCTATATGTGATTCCCACTTCAAGTTGCTCTGAATTAAGATACCTAAAAATTTAACAGATTGTTGATGAGAATCTGTGTTAGCATAAGAAATTTTCAAATCTTGCGTTTTTTAAATTTAAAGATAGTTAATTAACATAACACCAGTCTACCATTGTATTAAAAGAGCCAACAGTGATTCCATTCTGCAAGTCCTTATAGACGAGTCGATTTAGCCCAAAAAAGCCTCTAAGATAGAACAAATTCCAACAAATGGTTTTTCGACGGTTTTTGGTAGTAATAGGTGTAGAAAGAACCAGGAAAAAAGTCTACCAAAATCGGACAACCGGAAGTCGGGTTTTTCCAAGATGGCCGCCGTGAGGCCCTCAAATCGACAAGATGACTGCAAATTCGTCGATTCATAGTTCCAGGATTGGCCGATTTCCACGAAAATTGGCAAACACATGTAGAACTATATTTCCAACCTTAAATATGAAAACTAGGCAGACAAAGTAACCCAAAGATGAATTTTCAGGGTATTATGTACTAAAAAATAAGATTTTTTACCTCAAATATATGTTTTTCTAATATTTTGTACAAAGTTTGTTATAATTTAAAATTTATTTTTTCACCATTAGATTCAACACAAAAAACCTAACAATTTAGTATATTGAATCTTTATTCTGCTTCAATTTGTTACAGAG